GTAAAATGTATAACTGAGAATGTTAAAAAAAAATTAGATTATTCCTCGGTTTCTCCAAAAATAGCAGCACAGCAGGTGGTTCATGAATAAGTTGAGCGGTATATGAAAGCATGTGGTTGCACCATGAATAACAGGAAAAAATCGAATACATTCCAGAGAGTCTATGAATTAGAATTCACAGAAATTATATTCCGAGTTCCGGCACAATTTTACAAACATTTCATCAAAATCTTCCAATGATGAATGCACGATAGAGAGCATGCACCATTTCTAATGCATCGACCTGGACTTGAAGCTCAATTTTTCCTTCTGATTACTCAAGATACCGCACTTTAGACCAGTCGAAAATTTTAAAAATGTACATATTTCCACGTCACACATGCTGTATCTTTCATATTTATCATTTTCAGGGTTTTGCATTGCTCTGGATGATTCCATTGCGCCTTGAATTTTCCTCTCAATTTCCTGCTTTGCATTTTTTTTTTTTACCACGGGCGTTTCTTCTAAGTAAACATTTGCCCGCCTTATGCTCCGAATAAAAAAATTCGAAGATCTCAATGCTGCAAAAATCGATGGGAAATATGTCAATTAAGAGATATTTGTGCTCCTTCTCTCCCACCAAAAAGTTTTTTAAACAGAACCTTATGGTACATGTATTACTGTACATACTTCGTTTATATTAAACTGCCTGCATTTCTAATGCAGTAAGAGGTTTTCCGTTTCCAATTGCTTTGGTGTATGGACTTGGGAATCAGTAGCGCCGTTATTTTATGGAAACCAACACTTGAAATCTCACATTTCAAGCATCGCTTTTCAACTTCTTCGATCTCCTGATGCGTTTTTCTCTTGAGCTTCGTTCCCTCCCTTAAGCCCACTTTGGGGATCACTGATCAGGTGCTTTTTTCTCCCCGACAAAAATAAAATTCAGGAAAAACTATTTAAAAAAAAAACTCCCTTCCTTTTTTTTAGATAAGTTTTCTGAAAGCATAAATTAAAATTGTCCACTTGATTATACAGCATATGCTGTTTGAATCTTTTTTATTTTTCCCGCTTCAGCCCAACAAAAATCACTCAACTGAAAACGTTTGTATTTGACACAGCACTGTTCCGTGGCGCTGATAATCGACAGATATGTTATTGTTCTCGAACGCTGAGGTCCACCGGTGCTTTGTGACCCAGTGCCGCTTTTCTTTTTTTCTAGGGCGACTTATACTACACTAAGAACAACGGGTTTTGAGAACCTGAACTTTCCATAATTCCGTAACTAAGAGGTCGTTCGAAAGTATGAGCGTTCCAGGTCATGATACGGATTTTGAATATTTCAGAGAAAATCTGATATGAATTTTATGACGGCCAGAATGCGGCCTGTTGAATTCCGACGTTCATGACCTTCAAAGGCATCGTGAACTTCAAAATAATATCCTGGGTGATATCTCTGCACTGAGGAATAATTTTCTTTAAAGTTTTATGTGGACTCTTCGAACAGAGTTGAATGCACACAGAAACAGGGATGCCACTTCAATCAAAACTTTGAGAAGCCGCCATCATTTGTTTGTGAAGTTTTTGAATGGGTTAACGGGGTTGGCAGCTTATTATTAAAGATGATCAAATAGTATGAAAATCAATTATGAAAGAAAGTACTGTACAGTTTTTATTCTTCTACAAAACCGTCGAAATAACCGCGGGATGCATAAATTATGTCTAGCTAATGGCCAAAATAAGTCAAACTGTTAACTTGTGAATTTTTGTTTTTTTATTTTATATCTCTAACAGCAGAAACTTGTTGATTGGGCATTGCAAATAAATTAAATTGGCATGAGTTTATTTCAGCTTTTTTAAATTTTTTCAGGTGATAAATAGTGTTTCAAAAGGGCTTCCAATATTACTATCATTGTAGGGAAGATCTGTTTTTTTTTAATGAATTGAGGGTTGCTGAAGGTGATGCAGTATCATATTGGTGGGTATTTTGTGGGATTTGTCAAGTTCCTTTGATCCATGGCACATTACTCTAAAACCTGAAGGCTCCTCAGAGCATTTTGCTCTATCAAGACCCCAACCCATCGTCCACAGATTTTTTTTTTTTTTTTTTTTTTTGCTGGTCAATGGGAAATTTTCTTTAGGATAATAAATTTATCAAAAGTAGCAATGAAGTCTGTCATCTTTATCTGCAATTTAGGAAAGGCAATCATAGTTGAAATTATTGGATGAAAAAATACAAGTTGGCTTTTCTCATAATAAGACTTCAGTCAAATTTTAACCTGGTGCAAAAATAATTTTGATTTCCCATTCTGAGGAACCTTTATTCAAGATCACCTCTCTAATTTTTGAAGAAATTCCACTACAGCTCCTGGTTGGTTCTTATACCTTAATGTTTGCAAAAGAGCATAACGTTTTAAATATCTGCCATAAAGTTTTTTAACAACACTTTTTTGAGTAAACATTAATTTTAGGACAGTTCGTCAGACCACAGGACCGAAAAGGTCGTGGAACACGACTTTTAGAGGATTTTCCTTCTATACTGTACACCCTAAATGCAGACCAGCTGACTGCATTGGCTGGATAATAAAGCAGGGGGTCGCCTGGGACTCGGTGCAATCCCTGGTTCTGGAGTTTAAGGGTGAAGATTTATTGCCAAAATTTTCCTCTCGTCCTCTGGTTACGTTTTTCCTCCACTTTAAGCAATGCCATATGTGTTGGCCACAACCCCTATAGCTGTGCCTATGGTAACTCGAACCCTTATTTTTCTTCCACGAACCCGGACCGTTTAACGAACGCCAGCTGTGTTTTCATGTTCTGTAGCCATAAATTCGCAAGAGAAGCATATAGAGTCGCGTAAAAACGTCGCGAATTCTTGAAATGCAGACGAAATGCCGGTAATTGAAAAAAACACCCGGAATATATGCAGAAAATTTCTGAAACGCAATACTGAACAGTAATTTTTCAAAAAGTCCAGCGTATTTCGGTGTTAACAACTAAAAATGGCTCTTTCAGTGAATAATGATATACTGCATTCTCTCAATTCCACGGCCAGAAATATGCCTGATCACAAATCTGTGGAATTTCCGGAACTTGAAGTCACTGGACTTGAGTAACAACTTGATCCAGGAAATCTGTGGATTGGAAACGTTGCATAAGCTTCAGAAGTTGAACTTATCCTTCAACTACATCACAAAAATCCAAGGCTTGCAAACTCTGACCGATATTCAAGATCTTTCTTTATACGAGAACAAAATCGAAGTCCTGGAAAATTTGGA